TGCAGTGTTGTAGTGCTGAATGTTACCAAATGCGCAGCTTACCTTCCAAAAGTAAATATGGAGTCCCTACTGACCATGTATGAGTGCTGCTCCCCATTCCTGCCTGAAGACTTCCTCTCGCTTGAGCAAAGAGGAAAACCCACGTGGAGTGAGTGAATGGGAGCACAGGCAGAAAGGACTAGGTGCTGAGCTGATGCTACATAGACAGGGCTGGGAGTCAGCTGGGGTCAGGACATGGTACCAGGGGAAGGGACAAAGAGGATGCCAGCCGTGGACCTTGGCGGAGGAGCCAGTGCAGACGTCAGGAGGCAGAAGGACACCACCACCTCACTGAAGTGCATGGACATGAAGCAGGAAGGAGGCGGATACACTGCTGAGCAGGAGGAGGGCTCTGACAAGGGGGTGGTGTCCTTGCAGTGTCCTGGTAGAAAACTCACTCTGGCCTTCATCAATACCAGAAGCCTTGGCTGGCTGCCAGTCTCCTCTACTGTGCTATTACGCCAATAAATACTTGTTGGCAGATCGATTAAACCATCTAGGAACAGCGTCTGGAAATGCAGCTTCCTCTGCTTGGTGCAGATGGACAGGCCTTCTCCGTCAGTTGGTCAGTCCCAAGACACCTGCGTTTTCACTCACAGCCCAGAAGCCAGCCCTGAATGCTGACGGGGCCCCCTGAGTAGTCTAGCTACACTCCAGCAGATGGTGCAAGGCAGGCTGGGCCTCAGAGGCTGGTACAGAGCCTGTGGAGGGTAGGCAGGGGAGTGGGTCCTACCTGGATCTCAGCACAACCTCACTGCTTGCTAGCTGTGTGGCCTTGGGCAAATATTTCACCTTTCCAAGACTCAGTTTCCTCATCTATAAAACTGGGATAATAACAGTAACAGTGCCTCAAAAACTTGAGACTGAAAAGTAAAAAAATAAAAAGGAAAAAGAAAATATGAGTAAACAGGGCACAGAACATGGGTGGTATGTGCCAAAAAAACGTGATTATTAACTCTCCTATATTATGCTGCCAGGGACCCCAGGGCCCTTTGTCTGGGCTCTCTTCTCTCCTGCTATCATTCACACACCACTTACCACCCAAGAACTTAAGACACGAGACAAAGCCCTTCTATCCGCCCTCCCGGCCACCAACATGTGGAAAGCGGAGACAGGACAAAATTCTGGAAACCAGCCTAGCAGATTCCAAAGGCCTGCACACTGCCCTGCCCCCACCCAATCCCACCCCAGGGGCTGAACCTCACAGCAGTTGGGACATTTCAGAGACATTCCCCCATTAGTGATCAAGCGTGTCTGATTCACAGCCACAGCTGGGCCTGCCTTTATACAGTTTAGCTTCTCAGAGCACCCTGCAGAGCTCCGTGGTAATCCAGGGGCTCGGAGGACTGGAGATGAAGCAATGGGAGGGAAAAAAACAACAGAGAGTGCATGTCAGGGTCTCATTCCTCAGGTCAGCCCTCTGCCGCACTGCCACACAGCCAGGTGGGGCAGATTCTCCTGGTCCTTCTATCCCTGCCTGGTCTGTAAATGTCTTTGAGAGCTCCCCATGAGTCCAATTACACAGTTACTAGCTGTGTAACCTTGAGTGACTTACTCAAGCTCTCTGTGCCTCAATTTCTTCATGGTAAACTAAAGATTGTAATACAGGTATTAGCTCAAAGAGTTGTTACCAGTATCAAATGAGTTAAAATTTGTAATGCCTAGAACAGATTAATTGCTACACAAGTGGTAACTGGTGCTGTTGTTATTGCTATTATTATTATTTGGGCCCTGGACAACTTGAGTCAGCTTATCCGATTGCCTGGACTTGCTTCTAAGCTTCTCAGCTTACTCAGAGGGCAGAGCCCTTGGATCTGCAGCTCTTTGCAGTAAAGTCCCAGATGCTGAGCCATTTCACTCCACAGTGTCGAGAAAGAACAGTTTCACTTGCAAGAGGTTTGTCAACTTTATGTAATTGCAATAGGAAATTGCACTGTCAGGAGCTCTTGTTCTCAATAAACATACGCTTCAGAGTTCAGTGTGGTAAGGCCTTTCTAAGCCATGCTTTTATAGTCCTAAAATTCAGAAATTGAAAAAGTGATATCCATTAACTTGCTTCCATCACATTAGAGGAAAAACCCCTGTGAAAACCACTTCTTTTTTTTTTTTTTACTCCATAGGTGAATCTCAGAACCTGTCCCACCTCACCTAGTTCACTCGACTAAAGAGCTCTACTTGCTGTGTGTCTGCTCTGTGCAAATGAGCTTTAATATCCCCATTTTGCCAAGGAGAATGCTGAGGTTAAGAGAGACGAGTGCAAATTACCAGGGCCTCTGCTGAGTACTGTGTTCAGAGCCTAATCTGGTCTTGGAGTCTGTGTGGGTCCTCTCATAGAACTTTCTTCCACCATGATCTTTTGGGGAAGCAATCCCAGGGAATAGCCCTATCTTATTGCCTCTGAGCATGTTTCTGACTCTGACCCCCTGAACCCTATTTGAGTCTGGGTTTGGGAACCTTCTGCCATGTCTGCAACTAATGTTGGCTGAGAATTCTTTCCATCTGCAGATCTCCACCTTGAATCACCTTCCTTGCCCCGGGGATTGCCCAGGGTTTCCCCTGGGCCAAGTTGTTCCCAGTCCCCAGGGATCCATGGTCACCCACTATAGGTCTTATCCAGTCCCTTTCTAGTCACCACCCCACCGCTGAACTCCACTGCAATCTGTCCTATAGTCTACCCTGTAGTCAGAGCTTGTGCCAAGCTGAGCATTCACACCTCTGCCCACATAGTGGCTGTTACTCCCGTCTGGGGTATAAACTAGAGTATACCAGACAAGCCAAGTTGTCATCAAATGGACAGACTTGCATGACACAGCATTCTTCCTGGCCCTTCCTTGCCTAACTGAAAAATCGCAGAATAGCGAGGCAGATGAAACACTCCAAGTTTCAGTCTCACTACACTTCTTTAATCACCTAAAAGACCTAAAAGAGATGTCCAGAACACAACTACCCTTCCCACCCCCTACCTACTTGAGCAGTGCACCAGGGAAGAGACTCTAACATTCATGAGGGCTGCAACCTTGTTAGAATATTATTATTTACCGGAAGATCAAGTAACTGATATGAATTCATAGCTAAGAGGAAGCCTACTTTAGGGACCTAACTGTTGGCTTTGCTAGCTCCCTGCAGGGGAGGTCTTTAATCCCAGCCAACATATAAGATAACACCACAGCTGAGAAAGGGACTCAAAACTGTGCCATCTTACAGATGTGTAAACTGAGTTTCATGGCATTAAAGTAATTCACCAAAGGCATAAAACCACTCAGAGCTGGAGACACAGTTGGAAATAAGACTGATCAGACTCCAGAGCCTTGCTATGCTAGCTAGGGTCCTTCTTTTGGTCCAGTGATTAATTTTAAGTAAACTTTCCAATTCCATTTCTTACCACTGGGGTTTGACTGGTCACTGTGTCTAAGAGCATTTCAGACTCTTTCCACCAGACTCTGGGATGACTAAATCAGGACATTCTCATCTGCTGCGAGATTTAACCAGTTACACAGAGAAAACGAGGCAACACTTGCTGTCAACAGCAATCTTACTCCAGCAACTACGGAAATAAAATATGAGCCAGAATGTTACCAAGAATACCCAAGAGCTGAGCATGCCAATTACTTTTCTGTTGCCTGCCACCCCTGAAAACCAGCAGCCCACCCTTTGCTCAAACAAATACAAATTTCACATGATTCAGTGCTTTTCCTTGAGTTCTTTTCTGGAGTGTTACTATCAGTCCCTCAACCAAAGGAGGAACATGGGAAAAGAGTTAGTTTCTGAGGCCAACAGATCTGAGGTAGACCCTGATGCTGACTCTCTAACTCTGCTATTGATTGACTCATCTCTCCAAAAGGGTCTGAAAGATGCCTCACTGGTGGGTAATTATATCTCTCACTTAGAATAAAATGAATAAATTGGATTGCTGGTGGTAAGTACTCTCTCCTGTTTCAGGAGGGGTGTGGCAGGAAGTCAGGGTGGGCAGGTGCTGGTGTGTGGAACTGAGTAAGCCCGCAGTCAGTGCCTGACCTCTGGCTCTGCTCAGCAGGAATTCAGCACAGGACATGCAGCTGTATGGAGGCCACTCTGCATCCCCAAGTGATGCCCCCCTAAAACCAATAATCATTTTTGTTACTATGATTTTTAAATTGCTTCACAGGATGGTTGTGCACATTAAGACCTCAAAGAGTTTTCAAGAGGCCAAACGCAGCAGCCTGTGGGCTTGTCTGCAACCTGCCAAGGTGCTCTGCTTGTCCACACAGAGTTTTCGGCAGCTGCTCACTTTCAAAACTGGGACAGTTCCCACAAACTAGATTTTTGGGCACTCCTGGAAAAATCCAAAGACTCTGCAACCCAGACCTCTCCTTCCCATGAGGTAAAAGCTGAAGGTGAGTGGCTGTTGCCTCCTTCAACAAACAGCTTGCCAGCAAGAGCTGGAATTTCAGTGTTTAGTCCCTGTGAACAGTAAGTAGCTAATAAGCAACAGTTGTTATGATTGTAGCTTATTTCTCATCAGTAACCAGTGTGGATGGCATTTCAGCTCAGTAACTGTGTCTTCCTGTTCCTCTCCTGCTGTGACTACCTTCCGTCCTTTTGTACTTTCCTGTATAGCCTGAAAGATCTGAAGACACTGAGTGAAAGATCTGTAAGGAGTATCACCACGCAAAGCCCTTATTAGGTGCCAGTCAGTGCTCTGAGAACACACGCAGTATTATCTTATTTGATCTTCATGACAGTTCAGAGCTAGATTCCCGTCACCGTGCCATTTTTACAGACGGGAAAATTGAAGCACAGCCTCAGATCACCAAGCCTACAAGGAGGTAAAAATTCAAGTCTAGGTCCCAACCACTACTCTATGCTAGAAGAGCATCCCAACTGCTGTTTCACCAGCTTGTCGTGTTGTCCCTTTCCCACACCCACTAGGGACAGCAGCCTCTGCACCCCAGCCCTCCTAACCCATCACGTTTCACACTTACGATCCAGGCCATTGATGTAGCGCATGGTGACTTCGCAGTGGCCCCAGACGGCACTCACCACCGGGTACAGCTTCTTGCCCTTGAGGCCACGGAAGGCCACGCCCAGGTACTGGCCGTCCACGATGAAGCTGAGCGTGCCCTCATCCATGTCCAGCACGACCAGCAGCGAGTCGGGCAGCGCAAAGGCCTCATCCGGCCCCAGGAAGGCCGGGTAGACCACACCGGGCCGGTTCTTGCCGTCGTGGTAGAGGCGGCTGCGGCCCAGGTCCCAACCCCAGGACTCAGCGTCACTGCCCACCAGTGCGGTGTAGCCCACCGAGTGCAGCGGGGC